TAAGCCATTGCTCCTTGTCCTATCGCTACACAGCACCAAGAAGAGCCTGGCCTCATCCATTTGCCTCCCACTTTCCTTTAGATCTTTATAAACATCAGATCCTCTCTTGGTCTTCTTTTCCCCAGGCTGAACAGACCCAGGCCACTCAACCTTTACTCATACAGGAGATGCTCCAGGCCTTTCATCATCTTGGTGGCCCTGCACTGGACTCCTAGGAGATCCCTGTCTTTTTGGAACTGAGGAGCCCAGAATTGGACACAGTATCTAAATGTGGCTTCATTGGGGCAAAGCAGAGGAGGAGGATCACCTCCTTCAACCTGCTGGCCACGCTCTTTGTAATGCACTCCAGGATGCCACTGTCCTGTTTGGCCACCAGGGCACACTGCTGGCTTATGGCCAACCTGTTGTCCACCAGGACTCCCAGGTCCCTCTCTGCAGAACTCCTCTCCAACAGGTCATCCTCCAGCCCATCCTTATGGATGCAGTTATTCCTTCCTCCCTGGATGCAAGACTCTACACTTGCTCTTGTTGAACCACTCAGTGGTGCACTGTTGCTATCGATATTTGCATAGACAACATACTCATCTTTCAGAGATGCCATGCTCTGAGCACCTAGATTGCACTGCACATAGAATCATAGAATGGTCTGTGTTGAAAAGGACCACAGTGCTCATCCAGTTCCAACCCCCTGCTATGTGCAGGGTCACCAACCAGCAGACCAGGCTGCCCAGAGCCACATCCAGCCTGGCCTTGAATGCCTGCAGGGATGGGGCATCCACAGCCTCCTTGGGCAACCTGTTCCAGTGCATCACCACCCTTTGAGTGAAAAACTTTCTCCTAATATCCAACCTAAACCTCCCCTGTCTCAGTTTAAAACCATTCCCCCTTGTCCTATCACTATCCATCCTCATGAACAGCCGTTCCCCCTCCTGTTTATAAGCTCTCTTCAAGTACAGGAAGGCCACAATGAGGTCTCCCCAGAGCCTTCCCTTCTGCAAGCTAAACAAGCCCAGTTCCCTCAACCTTTCCTCATAGCAGAGGTGCACATGTCCCTGTTCATTGCAGGGAAGCTGGACCAGATGACCTCTAAAGATGCCCTCCAGCTCAAATGATTCTATGATGCAAATACAGCCTTGGAGGGCACGAGAAGCTTGAACATGCTGCATGGAGGGCCTCAATCCAAATGCTTATCAAAGTCAATGCAACACATCTGAGTAGGTTTTAGAGCAGGCTGTGTGTTTGGCAGGCTGTGACTCACACACCCTCTCCTTCTGACAGGTAAAGAGCACAGCACAGACATGCACTGTCACGTACATCACAGTCGGAGCATCTCGTGTTACAAATACTCACAAGAATATCTTGCAGCCACATTTTAGACATCAGTCACACAGCCATCGCAGAGGAAACCTCACTTCTAAAGAGCAAATGTACAACAGGACTGAGAGGAGGGGGCTGTCCCATGTTCCCCAGCCCTGGCTGCACCCAGGGTTGTACCTGGCTGCCATGCTTGGTTGCAAACAATTCAGCAAGGTAAATATCCATTCATTCTCACTGCACATCAATAGAAAGGAAGATACGTCACCTATAGGAAAGAGATTCCATTTTCTATAACCAAAGTTCAGTTTTCTAAGACCCAGAGCATGGGGAAACCCAAAACTGACCCAACCCATGCAGTAACCCAAAGGTGGTGGAGAAAGAGCTTCAGTTATGAAGGGGCAGATATAGGACAAGAAGGAACGGTTTTAACCTAAAAGAGCAGAGATTTAGGTTGGATGTTAGGAGGAAATGTTTTACTTTGAAGGTGGTGAGGCCCTGGCACTGCTGCCCAGGGAGCTGTGGGTGCCCCATCCCTGGAGGTGCTCAGGACCATGGGTGCAGCCCTGGGCAGCCTGGGCTGGTAGAGGGGCAATGTGATTTTCATATTCTTGTATTTTGTTTACTGCTAAGAAGCAGGTGAATGGGGTGCACCCTTTCTTAAACAGGTAAGTGGAAGATGAAGAGCTGTGTGTTTGCCAGCTCACCTGCAGGCTCCAAACCCTGGAGAGGAGATGGTCCAACAGAAGGTCCAATGATAATGTGTCAGGAGAGTTTCAGCCATGCTTATAGAATCATGGATCGTTGAACACTGTGGTTGGAAGGAAGCACATGGGAACTAACACTTGTAAGCAGGGATCCAAAACTAGAGCTTCACTCAAGCTGGCCATTTCTGTGCTGGACTATCCACATCATTACAGAATGATTTTGCTGTCTAATGTCATTTCTTTAATGAAAATAGGAATAGAAGCTCAGGAAGAAGCCCAGTTAGAAAGTGTTTTTAGACTTAGAACCACGGAATCATGAAGGTTGGAAAAGAGCTCTGAGATCCACAAATCCAAACCTAACCCATCCCACCATGCCCATAACTACATCCCTCAGTGCCACATCTCCATGGTTGTGGAGCACCTCCAGGGATAACGATTCCACCACTCCCTGGGCAGCTGTGCCAATGCCTGACTGCTTTCAGAGAAGAAATGTCTCCTAATATCCAAACTTCAGACGACACCAGCAGGTTTGTTATTCAAGAACATTAATGCTAAATAACGTCGCATGCTGAAATGCTTAAGATTTGCTCCCCACTCATATGGGGTTGACAAAAGTGGCCTACAGTTATCGAGCTGCTCTGTCTCTTATTAAAATAATTAAAGTAGCAGTAAGCCAAGCATTAGCTGGCTAGACAGCCCAAATCCCACCACCCGCGTAATCCACCTGAAAGCCAAGTGTTCCAAGGGAAATTAAAGCTGCCTTTAATCCATACAAATCTCAGCACAGGAATCTTTTCTTCTCCTGCCTCCTGCTGCGGGTTACTGCTGCTGCACACCCCTCTGTGCTGCTGGAGCTTTGGGGGGCAACGCAACACAAAGACTGACATTAGATCTGTGGTGCAGGCAGCTTTACAGCCGTGTTGAAACAGGACACAGTTCTCCCCTTGCTTGGTGTAATCATTATGTATCAACACACAGAAATTAGGATAATTTGAGTATAAATCAGGCAGCGTCATTATGCTGATTTAGACTTTAGGATTGTGTTCGGTGTGTTTGCAGTCTGCCATGATCCTCTGGGAGGGAGCCACGAGTGAGCTGGAGGAAGAGGATGGCTTTCTCCAAGCCCACCAGGGACATCTCCCCAAAGCTAACCCAAATGGTGAGGAGAAAGGGGTGAGAAAACCTGTGGGGATTGCTGCCACTCTGCATTTCCTTCATCTGAAATTCTCCTTCCTAAAGATTTCACCCTATCCCCCTTGTGATGCATGAAGCAGTGATCTACGGATGGAGGCAGGGAGAAGCTGCCAGAAAAATAAACCACCAGGGTGCAAACGCTGATGTGAATGCAAGAAAAATAAAGGGTCGGAGACTCAAATGTTCTGCTTTATCAAACCTACCATACAGATCCAAGCCATCCTCAGCAGGATACGATCCTCTGCAGGGCTGTGGGTTCTGCTCCTCTCTGCTGGTACCAGGGGAGCTCCTGAAGCCTTTCAATTTTCATACCTAAACCAGTTACTAATTTAGCTGCCAAATGGGATCATTACGATGAAAAATCCTACCTGTGGGAATCGAGCTCTCTCACTTCAGAGGGAATTCGAGCTCCTATTCTCCAGGATCCAGCCAGGAGTATTTCCTCCGACAGACGCGCTGGCACTCTGCCTGGCTCAAAAACACACTGCAGAAGAGCACTGAGCACTAAGCTACCACTAGGAGTGCTTAAAAAAAACCCCGAAAAATAATCAAGTTTGGACAAAGCATATGGTAACACTTATCACGCCGCAGGTGAGAGCAAATACAATGCGCTCTTTAGAGCACAAAGTAAAAAAAAAATATATAAAAAAATGATGGATTTCCAAAGAACAGCAATGCTTAAATACCAACGCAGCCCAGGTGAAAGGTTGCTCAACGCCCTCAGCCTCGGTGTTGTTGCACTCTTGCATTTCTTTGCCCCTTTGATATTGTAAGTATCAAAAGATGTTTGTCTGGAGCACCCAAAAGCTGTATGTCTGTGG